CTAACACAGATCTTCAAATCCTCTCACTCTTACACCCTTTACATCCTCAAAGCTGCCAATGCTAAGTGTTATGCGATGGATACAACAAATAAAGATGTATGATAAAGGATCTCAAAGGAGCCATTCTGCATCATTAGGAGTGTAACTTATAATCGAAAAATGATTTTTACTCGAGTAGAATCCTAAGCGCAGGAATTATACTCGCGAAGACGTGTTCAGCAGAAGATCAGAGCATTTCCTCCACCGCTGTCTAATTCTGTCTCGTCTCTTACATTACATCGCTCCATATGGACACACGCCCATGTACCCTTCGCCATCCGCCCCACGTCCTGCATTATGACAATTTGGGCCGGTATTCAGCCGGTATGGCCTTAAGTGCCACCATAAATCCCCATTATCTCCAATCCAATACATCGATGTCACTAAATGATCCATAGCCCTTTCACACAGTACAACTAATACAGTCTTCAAAGCTCTTAGCCTTTCATTCTTCTCAATTACCACTCCCTTTTCCCGCACTCTCTCCTGCTCTCCGTCTCCCCTCCTCTCCCTGCTCTCTCTATCTAAATCCTCTTTCCAGATTTCTCTCTCCATTTCGTCAGCCTCCTTTCGTTTTTCTCCCCTCTCTCCTGTTGCGCTCTCCAGTCCCCTCTTCTTTTAAACTGGTCCCCCTTTGCTTCACCCCCCCCCCCCCCCCCCCCCCCCCCCCCCCCCCCCCAGTCTGCGCTCCCACTCAGCCGCAAAGCCGCCTCGCTCCTTCTTGTTCTGTGGTTTTCTTAATTCCCCTACTGCTCGCTCTCTCTCTCTCCTTCAGTCTCTCTCTTCCGTCGGCTCTTTACAGCTTCCATCAGTCTCTCACTATCCTCACAGTCGCTCCGTCTATTTTTATGCACGCACACACACTCCTGCTCATTCACTCACTCTCTCTCTGTTCTCTGTTTTCTCAGCAGCCCCTCACTGTCACTTTTTTGATACAAGGCGTCTCTCTCTCTCACACACACACACACACAAACACTCTCTCTCTCTCTCTCTCTCTCTCTCTCTACATCTGTGACGCCCTCATTCCCCTCTCTCTCGCTCCCCCTCTCACACTCTCACTCTCCATCTTTCCTTTTACTGTCAGTGAAGCTGTCAGAGAGGCAGTGGTGAGCAGCAGTCTATGGGCTCATCTTTCCAACACACACACACACACACACACACACACACACACACACACACACACACACACACACACACACACACACAGACTACAACTGCATGAATGAGAAGCTGTAATAATAGCACACTGACCCGAGGTGCTCTTCCGCTATCTAGCTGGAGATGAGCACTGTGTGACAGCCTGTGTGTGTGTGTGATTATCAACCGTCTATTACCGGTACTTGTGTGTTAAATCAAAGTTGTGTATGTGTGTGTGTGTGTGTGTGTGTGTGTGTGTGTGTGCGTGCACGTGGTTTTGTTTTACTACATTCATGGGGTCTGACAGCTTCATGAGGATCACAGTGCTGGACTCCACAACATGGAATCGACCTCAGTCGTTTCAAAGTCAGGACAGAATATCAGCGTTCTTTATAAAACCTACACAATCTGATGACAGCGGCGAGGACGCTAACAGCTCTGCTGCTGATGGGAGGAGGAGACGCTCGTCCTGAAAGCACTAGCAGCTCTCCTGCTGTTACAGCTACAAAGAAAGCCTAATCATATTCTCTCCCACCATCGCCCAATTCATTACACAGCTATTGATTAACACCGTTCTTTTGCTCCACTTTGCATCTTGGTAATTATCAAACATTACATTTACACTGTATTAGTCGTTAGTAGTTAATAAATTTCTGTATTTAGACTCAGTGGCTGTCCTGTTGTGTTCCTTTGAAGTAGAGATGCCAGATCCATCGAATCGAGAAGTCACGGCTTCTGATATCAGACTGATTGGATTCACTGTATTAAAATTAATTCCTCTTTGGAGGTGGTGCACCCCCACCACCACCCACCACCCACCCCCTCCTAAACGAGTGCATTTGAATAAAAACCCAACAAAGAGCTTCATGCTACAGCTGACTGATGCTGAGCGGTGTCAGGATGTCTGGGCGAGGCCTTGAATGCACCATCGTTCGCAGTGAGTTCATCTCCATCAAATCGCTTTCTCTATTTTACTCTGTTCGTCATTTACTTTAAAGGCTCAGTTCGCCCAAATCACAAAAAGGGAAGCAATGACCCTTTCACTTTGGATGCAATTCTATCGGCAGATAAGAACGCTGACTCAGCAAAACCCTGGATTATGTTCAGTGACTGTGTTCTTTATTAACATTCAATACCAACATTTTAGAAATTGATTTTATTCTGCAATGTCCTTGCATGGCAAATGACCTATGGTTGAAGGGGCACTCCACTGATTGTATGCATGCTGTTCAGGTCACCGGTCTCAGCCGGTGAACGCAGCTACAGAATGTTTTCTGCGGCTGTGGAGTGGCTGTTTTTTTCCAGACTTTTCGCAGTCTGGGCGTCAAGACAACACAAGTTTAACAGAATAAATTGAGGACTGGCGTTTCAGAGACATGGGACTTTACCACGAACTTACTTGGAACTTGACCAATACGTGGGACTAAAAGTTGGGGCCTGCGATGCTTCAATTTTGACTATTCTTTTTCAAACTTTTCTCTTGTGGCTCATCTAACTTTATGGATGTGCGATACTAATTTGCTACCATGCATTTAAGGTATGGTTAATGTTAAAACATTTGATTAAGGTTGGAGAAGGACTGTGGTTAAAATTAAAAGAGAGCAAACACTTATTGCAGATGGTGACAGGATGCAGATGTGCTACTTGTCAGCCCCCGCTTCCCTTTTCATCTTCCTACGTAAAGGGCACATGCACTGCTCTTTCCCTCTTTCTTTAGTAGAGGTAATTCTTATGGAAACCCCACAGTAAGGTTTGTGAATAATCCAGCGACTTCAAAGCATTGTTTTCTGGAGAGGTGTGTTGCTGTTGATTTTTTTTTTTTTGATTTTTTTTTTATGAAACTTTTCAATGTTGTGAGCACCACGAATACAAATCTTAAGAGTTGGATATCTCAAAACATGGGTGAATAATATCAAGCCTATCTGGAAGGCTAAAACGTATCTTTTTGTCTTATGGATAAACCGACCCTTTAAACAGAAATTCAAACTCTCTAAAAAGCAACAATTCCCACACTCTTCTTCCCCTCTGTCTCCTTTTTTTTTTCTAGTTCAGTTGTAACAAAAAGACCAGATAATCTGTCCTCAGTCGGGCAGCGCTCCCATCCCTCCTCTTTGTAGCTTCAGTCCATTCTTTCGATTCATTTCAATCCATAATTATAGCAAACACTAATGCTGCCAAGGCATCAGGACACGAGATGGGGTTATTTTTGCATTACAAAGCCTGAGTGTAGCATTTTCACATCAATAAATCATTATCATATTATATCATCAAATTATATTAGTATAATTACTGTAGAAAAGGCCACTGCAAAGAAGTCTAAACATTGCAGTTTACAAAGAGAAGGATTTGGCAGGACATCTGTTTGGAGAGCTGTGCACGCAGACAGAGGGCGCTGTTCTCCCAGCACAAACATAGCTTTAAGCTTATATAGTTTCTGGTGAAGGCAGATGGTGGAAGGAGCGAAAGGGCGACAGAAACAACACTTCCAACATGTTTTTTTTCTGCTCGGTAAAGCAAAACAGAAAACCTCTGACTGATGAGGCAACAAGAAGCGGGTGGTGGTGGTGGTGGTGGTGGTGCTGGTGGTTGTGGAGGGGGGGGGGGGTTTATGGGAGACATGGTTGTAATTCGGAGAAACGTTACCACTGCCAATACTACTGGTGTGAGTCAGAAGCTGCCAATCGTTTCCTTGATTTTTCAGTTTATCTGTGAGGGAAAAAAAGCCGGTTAATTTGTCCGCTCGTGTCATCCTCTCTGCGCTCCCTCTGCCGCTCCCTTTCTCTTCCCTGCTCATTTCTCCTGTTTATCTGTAACAAAAGACCAGTCAGTCTGACCTCATGCAAAGCTCTCTCTATCTCTGTTTCTGTGTTCGACCTCATCCCTTCATCCTCTCCTCCGCCCTGCCTTTTATTGTTGGATTTTGTCGTTATCCCTGGCTAGATCCGACCCACGCTATCTCTCGCTCTCTGTTGTGTCACTCCCGGTTGCAGATATGTTGCAGCTCAACGGATGACACACACACACACACACACACACACACACACACACACACACACACACACACGCACGCACGCACACACACACACACACACAGATATTTGCAAGAATAAACTCTGCAGCAACACACGTACAAAATACAATAACACCAAACACATACACATTTCCTGGATACATGCATAGGCACAAATTTAAAGGATCACGGCATGAAGGAATGATGGGAATGAAGGGTGCACACACACACACACACACAAACACTCTCACAGCATGTTTCGGCACTCACGCACACACAGGCAGCATGCTCTCGCACTTGCGCACACACACATATGCAGGCACAGGTTTAGGGCACACAGAGAGACAGCAGGCAACGTGGCAAGGACACAATACACACACAGCATGGTCACACACACATTCTCACACACACACAACAAACGCACACAATCACTGAGGGATATGTGCACAAATTTGCGCATTTCTATAAACATACACACTTGCAAATCCCCGTACACGCTGCAGGATCACATGAACACACACCAGAGACAAACACACGCACAAAGGCCAAAACCACATCCTTGCATTCCTTCAGAATATCCTTGAAGCTGCACACACACACACACACACACACACACACACTGTCCTACACACACACACAACCACACCCATGCACTGTCCTCACCGCACAGACAGATATAGAAAGAGTACAAGCCAGGGTACAACAACAGACACGTCAAACGTTCATTTTCTGACCCCGCAACGCAGAAAAAACACACACACACACATTCACAAACACACAAAGAGAGTGTCCGCACACTTCCTGTATCTCTCACCTTCCAGCTCCTGGTCTCCGCGGTACCAGATCAGCCTGGCGGGGGGTTTGCTGCCAGTACTGATGCAGGTCAGGGTGACTTTGCCCCCCTCCGGCACTGCATTCTCAAAGCCCGAGATCTGAGGTTTACCGGGCACACCTGAAGAGAGGTAGAGAGACATTAAGAGTTAGGGACTAAGCAGGAGAGAGAGAGAGAGAGAAAGAGAGAGAGAGAGAGAGGGCTGCAGGGCTCACCTTGTAGCAAGGAAAAGCAAAAAAAGAAAAATAAATAAATAAAAGGAAAGCAAATAAGACAAACAAACACTGCATATTTTTGCGAAGTTGTGTTGTACTGAGTTAGGGGGGAAAATAAAGAACGTTAACAGCATAACTTGATACAGCAACCTCAATATCACAGTCAAGCTTGAATTTCTTTGGACAAATTTTTAGAGCTCTCATGGAAACCAGCTGGGCAAAAAAAGAAAGAAGAAAATGAATAATGATGCAGGCTTGCTATCATTTGCACCCAAAACTGTTCACAGCCATTGCACAGTGGCTCAAAATTCTGTAAAGCTTCTGTTAACCCTGACCCTCCACAAGCATCAAACCAGCTGTCTCCCTATCAGTGCCAATTAGGCCTGGGTGCACTACAATATTTCATATACAATATTTGCTGACCACTCAAGAGCCGTGCTAATAATGACTGTTTAGCAAAGGCAGAAGTAGCTTGATGCCGACAGAGCGTCGCAAAAACCTCTCAGGAGGGAGTGGGGTTAGATAGCTGGGTATGTAACACTAGACTGTGCTGTTTGCCCCTAATTTCCTGCCACAGTGGTTCTCCAATTCTGACCAAGAAGTTTTTTCTGCCGAAACTCAACGACAACTTTACAGTGTCGATGGCAGATCAGAAACCAGTCTGAACCAGTATGAAGCCTTTCTGTAACGGTTTTGGAGGGTGCTGTAAAAAAAAAATAAAATAAAAAAATGTTGTCATGGCAACACTTCAACAGATAAAAAAAAAAAAAAAAAGGTTTTATTTTTATTTGATTGTTTAGTTTGAAGGTCACGTTAGCAGGAAATGTAGAACTAGAGCTGCAATGACTGGCCAGTTATTCAATTAGTTGATCAAAAGAAAATGAATCTGACAATCGATCGCTTACTATGTACAAGTTCTTTTTCAAGTAAAGACGCCAAATGTTTTCTGATTCCAGCTTCTCGAATGTGAGGATTGGCTGATTCTTGCCTGATATGATAGTAAACTGAATATCTTTGGGTTTTGTAGCCTGATTTTTTTTGAATAAATATGAATTCAGTAAATTACCTTGGGCTGTCTGAAATTACAACAGGATTTTTTGACAGTTCATAGACATGATTAATCAAGAAAATAATTAGCAGATTAATCTAAATTGTTAGTTGCAGCCCCATATAGAATCACTGTCAATAGGTTTTTGTAAAGATGAATTAATAAATGTTTGTGGTAGTTTCACTGAATTTTATAGCGACACTTACAGAGAAACTGTATTTAATGATATGTCTTGCCATTACCTGACCTGCTTCCTAAAATAAGGTCAGTACTGGACCCAATTATATGTGCATCCTTGGTTGCATGGAGAAAAACACTATAGTAGTCTGAATGTTCCATATACATTTATTAGCGCTATCAAATGATTAGCTTTTTTGAGATTGAAATTCATTGCAAACGGTCTCAATTGATTGAAAAATGCCATTAGTGCTGCATATTTTACAGGAAAAGTCCATGAGAACACACAGTAGACTCTTACTGTGTCTAATCTTATCTGTATTAATACCCTGCAGAAAGGTTGGACTCATAAGTACTGTACATATCACTCCTGTGATGATTCTGAGGAAGTGAAATGCAAACCACATTTTTAGTAAGACTTGAAAACATGACACAAGATTACAGAAGCTGAATACAGAGACAAAATATATTCCCAAAAGTAAATGATAAAAATCCTTCATCAATTTAACATTCAGAACAGTTCTTCAGGTGCGCATATTAAGTATTCCAGGATTTGCAGTGAAGCCTTAAAAGGCAGGACGGCTGCCTACTGAGAAGAAGACGGAAGAGCAATTAATTTGTTGAAATAAATAATAATGCATTATCCTTTTAAAATCAGCAGCGTGGGCTCTGCATTACCTCTGACAGCCTCAGCATCTCTGCAGCTCCAGCCAGTGTGGTAAATAGCATTGTATGACTGTTCACTCTCAGTTACTTCAGGACAGTTCAGAATGTCAAGGAAATAAATTATATTTTGCAGAGATTATTAAACAGGACTCCCGGAATTCATTAGCTAAAAGCCAAAATGGGAGATGGAATGACTCAGGCAGACTAAATGTTTTTCTTTGGGGCGTACGCTGGAGCCTTGGGTGACTGTTTGCAGAAAAAGCTGAAAGGGACAGAGGGATGACATTAGCCAAAGGTCAGAATCAAACTGCCAATTGAAACACCAGGACGCCCCCAGCCAAACCAAAATTTCATGATTCCTTCTCCTCCCTCCCGAGGTGTTCTTCCAGATTCCCTGCACTCTCTGTCGGTTAAAATGAGAAACATTTTCGCTCTGATTACTGTTTTAACTTGGAGCACAAGTCGAAGTGAAAAAAACAAACAAAAAAACAACGGAAGCAGAAGAGCCACACGTCTATTCTGCCAAATATTTAAGTATCCACTTTGCCTCCACCGCTGCGGTCGAAAGGCAAGAGAGGAGAAAATTAAACTTTTCTCTCCATACTCCATCTGGAGCCACTGTGGGCGGCACTTTTCTCCAAGTGTTGGCGGAGTTTACTGTCATTCTGCTCTTGAAAATAATGAACATTCGGTCTGCAGTCTTACCACCTATCCCGCCATCTTCTGCTTTAATGGAGGAAAGAGGGAGTGATGGACAGAGAGATGGGGGTGAAAGAGTAGAAGCAGAGAAAGTTAGACAGAAAGTTAGAGACCAGGGCATGAGGTGCTGCCAAGAGGAAAACTGATTTTCATTCAAATTAAGGTTTTGCAACAACTGAATTTGTAAAAATGTGTTTTTCACGCCACGTTTCCAAAATAAGACGAGTAGTCAGCGAGCGAGGAAAGACAGAGGAGAGAAAATATAGATAGACAGAAAGATAAATAGATGTTAATGGAGCTCATGTTCCTTAAATGATATTGAAAGTAGCTCCTGATACTTTGCCCACCTCCCACAGTTAAGACAGACAAATGGACAGAAAGGGAAGAACCAATATAAAGTGCCATGAACTAACCAAGGTATAGATCAAAAAAATAAAAATGTGGTCAATTTTTAATGTAGCAGTATTTGATGTAGTGCACTGTGTGCGGAAGCTCTCTGGCAGTAAAGTAGCATTGAATATTAATGAGGGAATAATACTGCACGTATAGAATTGGCTGGAGAAGCCCTGTCGAGACCCTTTCCTCTACAAGGAGAATAAAAGAGAATAAAGCCATTATAAATCATTCTCTGCTTAGCTCAGGAGGGAGCGCGCAGGCATGCCACCCATTTTATTCTAACAGACACACGACCATTTAAAACTGACCATGCTCAGCGGTTATGTTTTGTGTGTGTTTACGTGTGTGTGTCAAAAAACCCTCCACATGTCAAAACAAGGATAAAACACTCACGTGTGAACACCGCTCTGCCAAAACTCGATATCTTTGGCTGATTCCCCCATAGGGGTCCATGCGTTTTAGACATTTTACCATACATTTTTAATGGTTTGGTTCCCTCTCAGGGGTCATGAAATATTTATTGAACGCAGCATACAGTGTCACAGCTGTCAATTACAGCGAATAAAAAATGCCTGAATCACAATTACTGCAAATATTGGAAGAAATAGGAGGAGTGATTCTCATATTAATTTGAATTTAAAGAGATAAAGTAGACCCGCCTTCAACATGTTTCCACTTACATAATCCCCCCCCCCCCCTTTACACAAACACACACAAACATCACATTAACATTTTAAGTGCACTGCTCATGCGGTTGTCCAGGGGAAGCACATTTCATTCTTTCTGACATACTTTGCAGCACTGCCAAAACATTTGAATAAATATCAACAGAATGATTTATTCAAGGATGCTTCCACAGCTGTCGACTCACAAACCCCAAATTTTAGGGGAACAGCCCTGTGGCCCTTCAGCTACATAACAGCCGTTGTAAACACAGGCCTCCCTGCCCCGCCCTAAATATCTAAATTTTAGCATCTCCTCTTTCCACTAAATACATTTTCCAGAAACCCGACGCAGCTCGGTTTTCATCCAAGTTTAATTTGTTGGCAAATTATGATGTATTGGATAAGAAAAGCAGAGAAGAAATGGCAAAAACTAATAATAAAAAAAAAGCCTCCTCACTATCACAAACAAGCTCGGAGTAAAAACTAACTCTTGGCCATATCAGAAGGTATGCAAAATGAAATGATGGAAGCCAATTTGTATGGATGCAGGTTTTTTTGTGATCAGCACAAACAATGTCTCAGTTTCATTACACAGCAATTTAAAGGTGGCACCGGATGCCCTACGAGGTTTGGCCGTAAATCTGCCCTCCACAGCGTCACAGCAGTATCTGACCAGCTGTCTCTCCCACGTATACATTAAGTACCCATTGTGGTTGTACAGCCATTAGCTGGTACATTATATTATTGCCAAGCGCACTGCTTTGTTCTCATCTTCAAGAGAAACCATGAAATACAGCCAGCATTAGCTGACACTGAGGAACAATAACACGACCAATCAAAATCAATAGTTAAAAGACAGTTTGCGGGGGGCCAAAACCGATTAGCCCAATATCCAATCAATAAACAGGCTCTCTCACCGCTGACAGGATGACCGCAATTTATAGGAGGCTGCAGGGGAAGCATCACACGTAGGTAATAACATCCATCTCACAGAAGATGAGTGGAGCCAGTTTATCTCCACACACGAGAGTTATATGAGGTCATAACCTTAGACAAAGCAAGGATCTGGATCAAACTGGATGAAGGCATCACAAGCAAGGCCGTGGAGTCATTACATTGTGGTCCACTGTACTGTTAAAAGGATCATTTTTTGGATTAATTTGGAAGTGTTTCAATTTATATTTCAATTCAACTGTGACAGAAAAACCATCTTTACTCCAAAGGGAAACAATTTTACACATGGAGGAATACAGGATCAAACAAATAGATGAGTTGCATTATGGGCAGTGCAGCATCCAGTGTTTTTTTGCAGGTATACCCATACTAGGCACTAAATGTCAGCATATGTCAACTTTGACTTTGACAAATGGTCTTTCCTAAGTCCTCTTACTTCATGGAAACGCAACACTTAACAGGTGGAGCAGCATTACTGTGCTTCATGCCAACAGGCAGCCTCTCCCAGCAAGTCACTCTTACAGCAGACAGCCATGGGGTCAAACTTCATTCTGCGCTGAGAGAGGGTAAACTCTGCAGGGTAGGTCAGGCTAACACAAAGCCACAGCGGTGCATCAAGGTGAATTTGAGCCACTTTTCGCAATTTTCAAGTTAAAGGATTCTGTAATTTGATGGGCTAACAATTTCTGTGAGCAGTGTTGAGACCGGCTGGTAGAAAAAGTGGGAATTTTTTGTGAAAATCGTTACAAACAACATGAAAGATGGGGAGAAAATAAGAAAAGACGCCGAAAGCTTCAAGTCATCCATTTAAATTTGCCGCAATCCTACAGGTTGGGGAGACATATTAAGATAGACTGCAGCCGAGCTGATTTGTACAGCCGTCAATCAGTCTCAAAGGAGACATGCCTGAGTGTAAACACAAGCAAGACAAGGATGCCATTCTGCACCATTAGGGCTCAATCAGAACAAAGATTTTTAAAAAAAACAGCTTAGGAAGGAAAGAAAACTCTGAAGTGACCTTAGGATGGGCCTCACAGAGAGGGATCCTCCTTCAAGGACACACAGGAAAGAGAATATGTTCTTCTTTTCCTTAAAATCCAGAAAACCTATTTCACCCAGCTGTTCGAGACACCGGTGACTTGCACTTTTTTTTTCTGAATTTAAACATATTCTTTACAGTTGGGTGCAAACAGTCCGGGGGTTTATTTTAAGGTCTGGACAAAGTTGCAACCTCTGTAACATCCGGATGACTGATCTTTTTCCCCCACATATGCACATGTGCGACCCACCTAGCACGGTGACGGTGGCTCTGGCGGTGCGGACTGGCATGGTGAAGATGGAGCAGGTGTACTCGCCCTCGTCGGACAGCTGCACGTCAGCGATGGTGATGGAAAGCTCGGTGGAGGTGGAGCGGTGCAGCTGGATGCGGTTATCTCTGAGCGCTGAGGGAGGAAGAGGAAGAACATATCAATAAATGTGCACATATAATCTGCTTTATGCATTATTTAAGGAGATTTAAGTCTCACAAAGTATGCTTTTTAACTTTATAACTTTAGTACTGACTAATCTATCTTTCTTTATGTACTCATACTGTTATTATTATTATTGCAGTGAGTATCTAATTGTCATATTGGCTCTGTACTTGATGCTTGTTTTGATAAAGAAGGAAAACAGGAAGGAAAGGAAGATGATTATAGGGTCAGACAGAAGAAGAAAGTCAGAGGAAGGGAGGAGGAACCAAAAGGAAAGAAAGGAGTAGTTGTTTGAAGAAAGGAGGAGAGTAGGGTGGGGTAGGCAGGAAAAAGAAAGGGAAGAACTAAAGACAAGAGGAAAAGGAAGGGATGAAGGATAACACATGGGCAGGAATGGATGGAGAAAGAGAAGGGGGTGATAGAGTGGAGGAAAGGAAGAAGGCCGTGCAGAATGGATTAAAGAATCTGATGAAGTAAGGATGAAAAGGAGAGACAGGAGGGAGAAAAGTAGGAAAGTATAGAGATATAGGATAGGTATATAGGAAGAAACGAACAGGAGGGTGTGGGGGATGAGAGGGAGAAATATGAGTGAAGGATGAATAGGGAGAAGACAGGAATCAAAGAAGGAGAGAAGTAGAGAGTGAGAAGGGTGAGAGAGGAAAAAAGTACATAAGGAGAGCAGTGAAAAGGGAGAGAGAGGAGGAAAGTGGGGGGAAAGAGGGGAAATAAAAAGGGGAGAAATGGATGAAAGGAAAGTTAAAGGAGAGAATTAGGAAGGCACAAGTTGAAGAAAGTAGGGAAAGAAAGAATGGAAAGAAAAGGAGAGGTAGTGGGAATGTGGTGAGAAAAATAAGGGAGGCGGGAACAGAGGAAGAAAGCGTGTGAAGGAGGGCGAGGAAGGATGGGGAGGGCCGAGCAAAAGAAAGTAAGAAAGATGATGTGCAGAATTTAAATCATGGGAAAGAGAAAGGTAAAATGGATAGGAGGAGGGAGGGGGAGAGAAAATGATGTAAGACAGAGAGAGGGGGGTGGGGGGAGGTGGAGAAGGAGGAGTGATGAAGATGAGGTGAGAGAGGAGGAAAAAATAGCCAAGATGTGAGCCCGAGCGAGGCAAAGAAAGACAAAGAGAGGAGTAAAGAGAGGAGACACAAATTGAGAATGAGAGACGAGAGAAAGTGCAGGCGAGAAAAAAAAAAAAAAACCTGAGAAAAATAAAACACAGGAAGCATAAATAGCAAGGAGAATAAGGGAGAGACTGTGAGGGATGCGTGGAGAGGAGGGGAAGGAGGGGGGGGGGTGAAGAGAAGGGAGGCGGGGGGAACATAAGAGAGACATAAATGGCTTTGTCATCAATGAGAAATCCAGCCATGAAAGAGGGAGAGAGAGCGCAAGCGACCGAGATAGATGATGATGATGAAATGCTACGAAATAACCGCTCGTTTCCGTGATAGCATTGACCTCTACGGTGTTTGTGCAGCGTGATTGTCTCTCTGTCTCCCTGCATTCCTATCTGCCTGTCTATCTAGATGTCTAACAGTCTATCTCTCTGTCTCAATAAAGGCTTTCCAGCTTTGTTCTCTGGCGCCATCATGCAGAGTTGGCTCTTGGCAAATAGTGACTGAACGTACGACAATCAGAAAGAAAACAGATACCAGAAAAACACTACTGTGGTCAGGCACAGTGAATCGTCCGATTTGTTTCCACACTCAAAGTTGTTTTAAGTTACTGTAGCACTGCTTTTGTCTTATCCGCTCAAGGTCTCAACTCTGAAACACGAGGAGTTGAAGTATGAAAAGAGACAGCTATACTAGCGGCCATATTTTAGGTATTGTTAGTTGTACTACAAGTAGACGGGGGAGGCTTCTGATGGCATGACGTAACACACACGGATGGGGACTCCGTGAGGATTTGCAGTTGACTGACAGATAAAGTGGCCCCATGGAGTTCCTGCAGAAGCACTTCTCTTGGCTGTTTCATGGCAATTTTGACTATATTCTAATTGGATAGGGATGGGTGGGGTTAACAGTTATGCTCTAGTTCTGGTGTATTGTTAACAATACAAACCTTGTCAGCAACTGGTTGGAAATAACAGAGACAAGAGAAGCAGCTGTTCGTCAGTCAGCTAATATGCTAGCGAGATACTCTCAACGGGCAACCTCCGGGGCTGAAAAATGAATGAAGAGCCAAACGCTGCAGTTCCTCGAATGGCTGCAAGAGGCTGGCTCCAAAAGCGAATCAATCCCCACTGACAAAAAATTCCAAACTTAACAACAGAAATAAACATGTTTACAGCCTGGTACAAAAAACGTTTTTTGCTCTCTATAGCTAAGTTCCCCTTTGTGGCAACTGTACGGGGGGGGGGGTTATATAGCTCACCTGTTTTAAGGTTATGTATAATTGAGGGCGTGGCCACTTTGTGTGACAGGTGGTTGAGCGTATGCTTGCCATAAACCACTGTGCCCCGAAGTCTTAGCTCTACACATGCCCCACCTTTTTGCCCATTTTGGGATAAGCCAGAAGTTAGGCGGAGTCAGGCACTGCCAAGATGGCGACGTTGGAGCAGCCCACTCTGAGCCTCAAAACCACTCTACATAAACCTATGGGTGACGCCACGGAAGCTACGTCCATCTTTCTTTACAGTCTATGGGTACTATTTGTGTGATGTTTGTTTAATAAGTTTGCTTTTAATCTATGTTTTTCCAAAAGTTTTACTCACACTACATCAACATCAACACATCATCTTGACTAAACTGTACAACATCATGTTTAGCTAGCTATATAGTCTACAGGCTAATTGTAAAAGAATCTGATGCTAATGCTAATGATAGTCAGGGTGCAGTAAGACTGTTAATGAGATTAAGCTACATGGTGAGATACAGTCGTGTTAGTGTCCTATTGAATAAAATTCATACCGTAATATTTAGGTCAGAGTTCACATGTTGCTACATATACAAAAATGTCTGTGTCTGTCTGAGGTTTGTGGTTTTGTTTTGTCTCTCCTTTTCTCATTCCTAAGCATGGTGAAAAAGCAGATGCCAATTTTTCTAGTAAGTGTTCTCATTACTTGAACTGCCTAAACACCTAGCATGCTACTCGACATCACAAGTGGACAGTACAACCTGTGCAGGTTTCCATCAGAACACAGCGATAATCATGTCTCAGCACAGGAATTAACCACGTCTTTGTAGTTCTATTGAGATAACCAAGTTTGTTTGTTTGTTTGAAGCACTGTCTCACAGGCTTGAAGTGTGCTCTGCTGCACCTGCAAACACACTTATAACAGTGATGTCACAGTGCGCTGACCACAGCTCAAGCACCTTTCTACACCACTGCGACAAGTTCAGAACTTCAAACTATGAGGATCAGCAAAAAACAAGTCATTAATTCATTTTAGATGGTAGGATTGTGTGGATGGGTGAATAAATGTTGCAGTTTAATTGTATGTTATGGTTACCCTTTGTTTCCCATCTTATTGTTTATCTGCCTTTCTCAGTACTGAGCCACATCGGTGTCAGTCTCTTCATCTTTGTCTTTCTTACTGTCTCACTATTATCTCCATCTTTTCCATCTCTCTATCTGTCTATTTGCCTGTCTATCTATATTGCACTCCCACACACACACACGCACGCACACACACACACACACACACACAAACCTCTGTCAGTTTTTTCTTGGTATTTTTCAGTTATTTCATCCAACACTACTTTATCTTCATGCCTTATCACTAAGCAAGGTCACTGCATCTGTCTTCATGAGCTTCCCTCTCCGTGTGGGTGTGTGTGTGTGTGTGTGTGTGTGTGTGTGTGAGGGTGGGTGTGTGTGAGGCATATGGTCACTCACTAACACGCTCACACACACTCACACTTACACTCACACACACACTCACACACACTCACACTCACACTCACACTCACACACACACTCACACACACACACACACACACACACACACACACACACACACACACACACACACACACACACACATGCCCTCTGGACCCAACGCTCAACTATCAGTCTCTTTAATTCTCTTCCCTTCATCTCTCCTCAATCTCCCCTCTTTCCCTCTCTCTTGTTCTTCTTCGTCTTTCTCTCACCCATTTCTAATCTTTTCTGACTCCAGGCTTTTCTCTCTCCTTTTTCTTTTTTTTTTTTGTTCTTTCTTTTTTTTTCATTTTTTTTTCATTAGAAACGATGTATATTGCTTGCGAGTACAGGTGTGATGGATTTTCAAAAACGATATGATATCTAGTTAGGGGGGCGTATCGATCTGGAGGCCCCTGAAAATTGTACATGAGCCTCACGCTGTTTAGCTGCAATGTGGGCAACATAAATAGTCTGCCGATAGGTCACACGCAGCTGTTCGGCTCTTGTTTCTGTGGTCAAAGAATGTAATGAATTTCTTATTATTGAGATGAACTGGATTAGTGGACGAGTTGTGTATGTGTCTGTGTGTGTGTGGTAGGGTAAAGGAATATAGCTGCAAAGTAGAAGTCCTGTTCATTTTCTCAGAAGATGTAAGGTGACTGACATTTGGAGCACTTCCAAGGCTTGGCTGGACATGAAACTCTAAACATCTAAGCTTAAGAGTTCGCAACTTCTGACACACACACTGAAGTTTTTTTTAAACTTTTGGAAGTTTGTGTTCTCATCTCCTCTTCTCATTCCTTATGTGGAAAAGCAGCATATACAAATGCAGTCACCATTTTTCAGCAGGCAAAAATGTGGTGAAAATTAAACTTTCCTGGTTAAATTGGCAACACAAAAATGGGTCTCATGGTTTAGGGGTTAAGATGCCCACCGTGAGGCACAACATTCAGTCTGAGTCCAGGTAGATACCTCTGTTACATCTCTCTGTCGTTTCCAGTTCAGAGTCAATTTTGAATGAATTCACCAACTATTGTTCATGTTCTCACTTATAACAACGGGACATTTTGAATCTGCTACTGTGATAAAGATATTATCTCTGG